ATATATATATATATATATATATATATATATATATATATTTTAAGGAATCACTGTCTAGCTAGTAGAGTATGCCAGGGCATCAACGATAGTTGGAAACGTGGGATAATTTGCATAACGGGCGAAGCCCGTTATGCATAAATTATCCCACGTTTCCAACTATCGTTGATGTCCCTGGCACACTCTACTAACTAGACAGTGATTCCTTATATTTCCATTTCATTTTGAAATAAAAATGTAAATTTAGATTTGAAAAATGTAGACTAATAGATTTAAATTACACGAGGCCTCACATGTCAATTTCAATAGTCCCCGCCCACTGACGTCAAACACAAAGACAGCCGCACGAGAATTACATGCATATTAGGCCTCCTTAGCGTCAGACACAAAGACAGCCGCACGAGAATTACATGCATATTAGGCCTTCTTAGCTACTGACCTTTCGCTTAGGAAAATTTGCATTCCTTTAGAATGATCAAGAAATTAACTCTCCCAACTTTCAAAGAGTTATCACAGAGAAAACAAATAGAAATGAAAATATATATATATATATATAGAGAGAGAGAGAGAGAGAGAGAGAGAGAGAAAGCACAACTGTTATTACAAAAGCTGAGGGTACTATATTTGCCATGATATAATAATTGTAATCTTCATTGATGCCTTATCTTATCCTTCAGCATTCAATTTAAACTAGTTTAAAACGGGAGAATGAAAAATTAAAGTAGTGTCAATTGCACGGACTTGTTTTGAACATTGAATTATTTTGTACTTTTCTAGGTAACCAGGAGAATAACCAAGAAATACACAGGTAAAACAGAATGTGAATGGAAGCTTTTAAAATACTGCTTAATGGCATGAAACATGAATTTCACTTAATATAAAAAGTTGCTTAATATGTCCTGTTACAGGAGTGAAATATATTTTAAGTTTTTAAGCTTAAATTATAAGCTTATCAATCGTATGTTGAATTTAAATTAGAGCAGAGTTTTAAGACTGATTACATTCAATTTTGGCTGAATAAAATCTAACGACACAGTATCAATTTATGGGTATATACAATGTGACTTGTTTAATTTGTTCCTGTTGTATAAATTTATTTTGTTTATTAAATTTTGTTTAATTTAGTTTTCATTGTTTCCCTGATTTATTCGGTTCTAAAATGTGTATATCGTTAATCCTAACACCCTTCAAGAAGTTTTTGTGACTTCATTCTTGGGCGACTGGGAACTGAAAGAATGCAATCTTAATATGTTATTAGGACAAAGGGATAAGGGACATCTAACGTCTTGAACTCTATGTCAATAAGAAATACCATATAAACTGCATTAAGTCATTCAAAAATAAGAGTTTCCTATGACTATATGTGTACGTTTCATAAAAGAATTATTATTACAATGTAACAAGGGTTTTCCTAGTAAGACATTATAATTTATCCTGCCACTGAAAAAAAAATTCTTAAATGTAATTGGTTAACAAAAATACTGAATTCAACATAACATATATAATGTTTAACCTTTTCTTTTTTCTCTAAAGAGGATCTTAATAAATGTTATCATTAAGATTGAAGCAACATTAAGGATACTAACGTTTGCGTCGATTATCGAAAATTGAAATATATGTGAAATCTTTGGCAGAATTAATCCATAATTTAGACAAAGAAAAAATGGAAGTTTTTTGCCGGACTTAAAATGGATTTTTTGTTTTAGAAAACCACACCTAAACTTAGGTATCTCGAAAACAGATATCTCGATATCATAGATATATCCAAGTGATAAGAAGTCCCAAGCACACATTCTCTAAACATGTCGAACCCCAGAATATTTCATATTTTAGAACGATGATGCAATAGTGAACTACTTGGCCCTATCCGAATTTCATATAGAACAACAAATAATTGTCCCAGTTGAAACTTGAAGATTGTGTGGAATCAATCAAAATCATGGACTTTGTATCTGTCATATCTGTAATAAGGGACAAAAAGCAGACAAGTATCACTTTAGAAAGTAAAATTCAGAATGCCGGAAAAGTATCAATTTAAAACATATTGAAATTAATCCATTTTTTCTAAAGTTCTAGTGTCCACTGATGATTTAAATGAATTGATCTATTTTGTAGTAATATATCTAATGCATAGGAACAATTCCCATCGAGATAACTAGGGTTGACTGCACATAGATTTCAGGTTATCCCCTCTTAATATATTTAAATCAAATGATGCGTACATTATTTCTAAGGAGGACCTCTTCACCTAAAATGTCTAAATGATTTTCTTCTGCGCGCATGTCTTTTCTATAATGGAATAAATATCCAATAAAATGAAGCTCCATAGCATTCAATTTTTAATACATATAGTAAATTTGTAGAAACCCCTTATTTTAACACTTTTAAAAGTCTTATGCTTTAAAGTTCTTATGAAAGTTGAATGTTATAAAATCTTGAAATTAATATTATAAAAGTTACAGAATAAACAAAATTTACATGATTTTTAATTCAATCAACAATAGCACAAAAATATGTACTCAAATAGTATATTTTTGAAAAGAGGTTGATAGATTCTCCCGAAAATCTATAGATAAAAATCTTCAGATGTAATAGATCATATTTTTTTCTTTCCTCATCATAATTGTACAACTTTAAATAGAAATTGTAAACTTAGTTTAAAATCTAGCAGGGACTATATTTTTGGCGGAACGGCGGCGTATGAAAATATATCCTTTTCTACTTCTCAAAATTACTATAGAACAATGAATTTAGTTAAAAAAAAATAACAATCAAAGACTAAAAGAAAATTTCAAATGTAAGTAAAATTAATAATAATTGATTGAAGTTTTAAAATATATCAATAAATATGATTTTCCAAACAAACTACAATTATGTTAAAATTCAAAGCTTCTGATCTAAGTACAGATTTGAGCCAAAAATCCGTTAAAAGTGTTTTTTTCATCTTAATAAACGGTCAATTTTTTTTGTTTTTGTTCCAATTTGTATCTTTATACGATTACTTTACCATATGTGAAATAAGAAAAATTTAAATACACGAAGCATATAAAAATAACTAATATATCCTAAAAATCTAAGAAAAATTGAGGAAATTCGGATTAGCCAATATCTATTTTAGTTTAATTATCTATATCAATTTGGTAGTATCATCTGATAGACCCTATTTGTTAATATCTTTTTATGCAAAAAGATTAAGATTCAATCTTTTGAAATAAAAGTAGGCATCCCATGATTGGCAACGGTATTATTTTGTTCTTAAGGTCAAGGAAAAAGATAATGACCTTGACCTTTTTAAATACAACTAATATGAGAAGAATCCCTCCTTAAGGCTTAAAAGCATATATAAAAGTTAAAACACTTGAAGAGAAATCTAAATATATTAGATAATCAGATAATTAACTCTTTAACCTTAAAATATCTACGTATTAATTTTATTAGGAGAAGGAAACCTTAGTCTAATAAAGAATATAATTTTAAACGTTCAATAATTTAAGGACAGCTAATTTAAAAACATATAATAGTGACGTAATATTAGACATAATACAGACATGGACTATGCCTTAATAAAAAGCAAACTTTCATTTTAATATTTGGAATTGCAGTTGCAAAGTAAACATTTGTGGTAATTCATATCAGATTCTTCAAATCAATATTTTAATGATTGAAACATACGGAGTACGTAGCAGCCAATCACCTTTCAGTAACTGATATATGCTTAGATATTTATATTTAGTGTTTGGTATACATATTGTAAATTCTTACACGTACGCAGCAAGGTAGTTTTAAATACAAAACACGATATGGGAGCTCTTTGGGCTATCTGTTTAATTTTCGTCTACTTTGCGGTGTCTCGGTCTACCATTATTTCGCAGAAATACATCCCGAAACTAGAATTTGATGATAAAAAATCAAGTAATGAACTTTTGAAGGAATACAATTCTAAATCGTTGATCGAGTGTGCAGCTCTCTGTCAAAGGGAGTGTAGTTTCTTTGGATTTAATTCTCATATAAAGAAATGTCGTGCCCACAAGAGGATTTTCACGTCGGAGGTGTCTAATGAGGGGGGCTGGAGATACTACTCTCATCACTGTATGTAAAACTTATTTTTTCTTTGTTTGCCACAAATCACGAAAACGTCATTGATTTTCATCGCATAACTTTTAGAAAGAAGATATTAATCATTATTTACTAAGCACTGTACCATTTTGTTTCCCGAGACAACACTCTTTTATCTGTAAAAATCAATTGTATTTTCAAAATAATTAATTCTGAGAAATAGTCCTGTCTGTTTACTTATTTTTGTCTAATTACTTTTATTTCGAATGACAAATGAATTTGAAATTGATGGAATTATATCTTGTTATTCCAATATTTTTTTCTGTTTTTGCTTTCTGTTAGTATTATATATCTTTGATGAAAAATTTCGACTTCTACTGTGTAGGAAATATTAAAGAAAAAAAAAGATTAATGAAATTAATTTTAGGGATAATAACACTGTATTTTTCTAAATCATAAGACAATTGCAGTTTGTATTTGACCTAAAAAATTAAAAAAAAAAAAAAAAAAAAAAAAAGAAGAAAGATGCACTTCAAACTAGTTTCTCGAAATTGCCATCTTTCAATAACTGCTCTGAGAGATGAAATGGAAACCCTGCGCCATAGACCACTGAACATTCTCTGTTGCCCGGTATTTTTCAAAGAAGTTATTGTTTAAAGATTTGACACATTTGTTAAACCAAATGGTTTAACAATATAAGTAATGAGGAGCAGTTTAACATAATTTACATTGTAATTCACAACTTAACTTCAGCAATTAACCTTAATTTATCTTCCAGGTATAATGTATTCTCTTACTTCCTGTATATAAACATAATATGATTCCAGCATTTTTTTAATATATATATTTCAGCTATTCCTTTTGATTGTAAGGATTTTCGTGCAGATGGTTACACTAATTCAGGGGTGTACTACATTTATCCCTATGGGACCTTGAACAGTCCTGTCCGAGTTTACTGCGACATGAAGACAATGGACGGAGGATGGACGGTATGTAATATATTTTAAAATTAGGGTGCATTACATGATTCGCACTCTGTGTTTTTTGTTGTTCAAAAGAATATAGGATGAAAAAATATGAATATTTTTAGTTTATATCATAACATTTTGATCCTACAATTGTTTGAAACAATGAATTGTATTGCTATACATGTTTACTTTGAAAGGCAATCCAAAAACGTGTCAATGGATCTCTGAGTTTTGACAGGACCTGGACAGAATATAAAGATGGTTTTGGTTCACCGGAACAGGATGTCTGGGTTGGTAAGTGTAAATCACTTTTAAATAATAACTATCATCCGATTCAAAATTTGACAGACTTTCTTTTGTGTGGCAGATAAATAAATGGAAGCGTATCAAAGTTCTGATTTTAAAAATGAGTAATATGTTTCTACGATACAAGTTTATCGTGTTTAATTGAAATCTTACATAAAAAGAAATACAAAGATAGCAAGAGGTTTATTTCACTCAGCAGGATGGTCTTTGAAAGAGGCCAAACTTAGCATCAATGTCTACAGCTTGGGAAAAATAGTTTGATTTTTCAAGAAGGTATACTCATATTCAAAATATAATTATTGTATTTCAATGAACTTTACAGTTAAATATATTTAAATACAGGAAATGACGTAATTCATCAGTTAACAAAAGAAAAAGACTGTTTCCTATATGTGTCCATCACTCTCCAAGAAGGTACAACGTTGTATGAAATGTACGATCGATTCTCGGTCTCCAATGAAACAGAGAAATATCAACTCTTTCTTGCAGGACCCGCCACGGGAACCTTAGGTAAGTGTATCTAAGCTAAGTTCTTAAAGTTTGGTTTAAATCCAGTGCACCATCATATACTTCTTTGCATAGAAATATTATTAAGTTGTTGAATAAAGAGACAATGATAATTTTTTATCTAATATTCTTTAAACGTCTTTAATATTTCACGATATCATTCGTAGGTACAATTCACGAATTCCGCGAACATTAAATTTGTTATTTCTTAGAAGCTGAAAATTCAAGTTATGTATTTTAATAACAAATAAAATTATGTTAAATAATTTGTAAATAGCCTATCCAGTAACTGCCTTTGATCCCCCATTATTATTTACCTTGGGTTTCTTGAAGATTTTCAATAATTCACATTTTAAACTACTACGGAATAGGAAGTTTACAGCGCGTATTTGATTTATAATGCCGACATGTTCACGAAAATTTGATGTTCAAATAAAATTATTTGATCGGGAACATAGTCAAATTAAAAAAGCCTAATTCAAAACATCTCAGCGCATTTCACTTTTACCTATTCGATATAAAATGAAAATCTAATATTTTAAAACATTTACAGGTAAATAATTTCTTACCTTGTTACTATTTTGAAAGACTTGCTTCGTATTGCATTTCATACATTTTAAGGCACAACCTCTAGCAGATATTAATTTTTTTTTCACATATTCATTTTTCATGTGGATATAACGAACAGTATTTGAGCTCAAAAGTCCATTAAACATTATAAAATAGGAGCAAAGCAAACATGGACCTTTAAGACACCAGAGGTGGGATCAGGTTCAATGGAGGAGTGAGCATCCCCTGCAGACCGGTCACATCCGCCGTGTGCTCCTTGTCATGTTCGGGAAATAAAGGAAAAATCCGTCAACAATTCAGTGTGTAAATAATGCCCTAACAATAAGTATGAAAAAAGTCAGTCAGCATTTCACTTCATTAAAGACTGTATTTGCTGACAAGGTCATTTTAATTATGCTTTAAAGTGTAACACACCTGGGGTTTATTGTTATCTTAGAAAGGATGCTTTATGATTTACACAATTGCATTTTTGTACTGTAATTTTTAAATTAATATTATCTCTCTTTACAGAAGGCAGCACTAGAAGCAGCCTACCTTAGATGTACCTCAATATAGAGAATAAGTTTAAAGTGATATAAATAAATCATCTCTGTGATTATATTTTCTCTAATTCCACATGAAACAGCATGCGAAGCCGTCATCTGTCTTGGACGTACTTCAGTATTATTGACAATAAGTTTAATGTGATATAAATTAAGCATCTCTGTGATATATTTTCTCTAATTCCACAGGAAACAGCATGAGAAGCCGTCATCTGTCTTGGACGTACTTCAGTATTATTGACAATAAGTTTAATGTGATATAAATTAGTCATCTTTGTGATATATTTTCTTTTATTCTACAGGAGACAGTATGGTAAACACCGGAAGGTCTTACACCAATCTCGCTGGGATGTACTTCAGCACCCCAGACAGAGATAATGACAGACATAGTGACGGTAACTGTGCTGCTTACAGTGACGTCAGAGGAGGGTGGTGGTTTAACGCCTGTCGCTTCGCCTTCCTCAATGGTCAGTGGTCCCGGGCAGAGTGGACGTTTCCTTGGTATCCTACAGTAGAGAGTGGATCAACTGTTAGGGAGACCATGATGTTGATCAAATGTCTCTAGGTAAACATAATTAAAACTTAATTTCCAGTTGTTAATCTTTGGCATTTCCATGAACATTTTAAAAGATTATAAGAGAATTTGAATGAGTTATATAAAGTACGTTTTTTCTGAAACATTATATTATTTTTCTTTTTTTTTTCAACAGAGGAATATTTAAAAAATAAAAATGAAAATCAAATTGAGGACCAACAACAACTTTGACGAAACATATCTCTTTAGAGAGATAATTTGTTTAATCAATCTTGGTCATGGGATTCTGTTCCTTTTTTTAAATAATGTTTCATATCAAGTGAGAAAACTTGTAAAGGATTATGTTTTGAGGGGGTTTTGTGGTTTATCTATTTCCTGGAGCAAAAAGGTTTTGTTAATTTTCTTTACCGAATGTATCCAGGTAAAGATGAACATATGTGTTGTAATAAATTTGAAATTATAAATATTTCGTTCTTCTTTACGAACACTGCAATATGAAGACGCAATATAAAGACGCCGGTCTAATTTTTATTTTATTTTCAAGATTATTTGTATTTATTTTATTGAGTTTGTAATAAAAACTAATATTTTTGGTGTTATTCCATTAACTAAATTACATTATCTACTTTATTTTAAACTTCTTAGCTTCACTAATTTAACCACGTCTCTAAAGTTGCAATTTTACAGACGTGTTATTTAAAGCTAAGTTGTTTTATCATTTTTTTAAATTATTTATTTGCAATTACCGGGAAGTGTAAAAAATGGCTTTTCTCTTTTCATTCATGTTCATGCGTGAAGTTCAATGAGGCTTAGACGATAATTGATTGTGCAAGCCAAAGAATGGGCCTTAATTGGAGTAAAATGACGGTTTATCATTAGATAAACAGTACGTAATATGGAAAATATTTTAAGTTTATTAATTTATCCTCATCCTCAACAACGATCTTGCTGTGGTGCTCATATTTAGCTGTGGTGGAACTATGGCGCTATTTTAACTGCGGTGCTAGATAATTTAACTGTGGTGGGCCCGTCATGTTAAACAGTCCATGGAGAACGCTGTTTTTACGACCTAACAGGTAAACAGTCAGACAGAATGGCAGAGCAAAATATATATGCTCCCGAATCTTCGATTATTGGTGCATAAATATTAATAATAACACTTTGTCTTCAGTATTATTTTCTACGTATGGTAAGAAGAGATATGAGTGTATGTTTCCCGAAAGAATTTCGGAGATAACGAGACTTTACAATATACATTCTCTCTACATGCTAGCCAAAAATGAGAAATAAAAAATAATGTTTATCAGTTAATGAATTAACAATTGCAACACCCAAAATTTTAGATATTATATCAAACTCAATACAATAAATAAAAATTTCCTTGAAAATTAAATAAAAATTAGGCCCATAATTTTTTTTTTTAGGAATATTCATTCAAAGTAAACGTATAAGTATATTCCATGAACCCTGGAGTGCACACGGTTGACTGAACTTAGATACCTTATAATGTCTACTGAATATTGAACAAGAGGCCCAAGGGCCTGAGTATACAATGCATTTTCACTACAGATTCAACAAAGCCTTACCCAACACCAGAACCCAAGACCAAGGGTCAAGAAATTTACAAATTTGGAAGAGTTACCCTCATCATCATAACTATGGTCTTCAAAGAATTAACACTTTTCCACTATATTATCAAAAGCCCACCCCACCCCCTCCCCCCGTTATGCCAGAACCCCTGACCCTAGGACCACAAGATTTAAAAATTCTGTTCGAAGCTTCCATTTTCATTATAGCTTTGCAATTTATTTATCAGCTCAACATAAGGAACAGACAGGATTAATTAATGATTAATTAATAGAATTAATGCTTTTCACTATATAATCAATAGAGCCCCCCCCCCCCTTTCTCAAGAACCCCAAAAACTTAGACCATATATTTAAAAAATTTTGGAAGAGGCATCCTTGCCTATCATAATCATGCACTTCGTTTGTTTAAATAATCTCCAGTAGCAGAGAAGAAGATTTTCAAAGAAATAATTCATTTTCACTATATAATCAATAGAGCCCCGCCCTAACACCAGAACCCCTGACCCTGGGGCCAAGAAATTCACAATTTTTGAAAAGGCATCCTTATGACTCAGATGACCTAAAAAGGAAGATCAATAGATTTTAACACTTTTTAAATTTTTTGGTTCCAGTAGGTTTTCAAATGTGGGTTTTTTTTTTCTGTGTAAAACATAAGACTTCTTATGTACATTCAAAAGGTAAAAGAGTAATTTTATTAAACTTTTCGTAAATGAAGATGATTGCATATGATGAGAAAAAGAATTCGGTAATTTCTCCCTACGGACAACTTCTTTTAAGACAGTGGATACCCTATCCAAGGAAATCGTCTCTGAGATTTTTAATAGACAAAATTTGACGTTCTAATACTTTGGGTTTACTCTTAAATTTGCTATGTTACAAAATGTGAATACAATGCATGTTTAGAGAATGTCAGGATCATTCCCCGCTAAAAAAACTTTCTCTTCTTGAGTTAATTCTTTCCACCATTATTCGGAAGGTCAGTGCACTCCCCTACGTAATTCACTTCACTCTATTTCTGTATATGTTATGTATTATCTGGTTGAATACAAGAAGATTGAAATATTAACATAATTATTACGTGGTGTCAATTTTTAAAACTGAACTTAATGTAATGATCCATACCGCTTAAAATTACGCTATATGACGTTATTACATCATCACGTGCCCGACGCTTATTCTATCAAAATGCCAAACGTCAATATCACTTACCGTGATAAGAAAGTAAGTTTATTTCCAATAAAGGCAGAAAAACTACAGGATTTCTATAATTTTAATTCAATGCAGGAACATGTTCTGGACAATATCTTTGGTCATAGTAATGCCAAAAAACAGACGTTGTAGAAAATATAGTCAATGTTTTCAACGATGACACATTGGTGGCAACCAAAACTACATGCAGATCCCACAGTGAAAGGAAATGGATACTAGGTCGTCGTGTTGTTGAGCTGGGCGTTTTAGCTGATCAAATGCAGTGCAAACAATGAGGGTCTCTCCTTCATTTGAGGGAAATCATTGACGAGAAACTTTCAGATTGGCGAGTATATTTTGACTATTTGCCGATCTTGCAACACTACAAGAAAAGTTTCCAGCGGGAAGAAAGATGATTGTGGAGGATTTGAAAATAACTACAAATAACTACAAATTTACGATAGGTATGTCAATCAATTGCAAAAGGTGCCCGTGCATGAAATATGAAGATAGCGAACAGTATTCAACCCTGAAAGTCCAATGAAACGATACGAATTTGGAGAGCAAACACGGACCTCAAAATGTAGAAGTAGGATCAGGTGTCATGGAAGAGTGAGCATCCTCTGCCGACCCGTCACACCCGCCGTGTGCTCCTTGTCATGATCGGGAAACAAAAACTGGAAATATCCGTAAACAGTTCAGTGTATAAACAATGGCCTAACAATCAGTAGGTAAAACTTCAGTCAGCAGCATTTGACTCAATGACAGGTTGTATGTGCTGACAAGGTCATTGTATCGACCGAAAAACTTGCTAAAAGATGACTTCAAACGAGACTGTTTATATCCTTATTTCGTCAACTTGTTGCTATTGCGTATCGAATCAACTGAATGACATAAACCCCATATGCAGGTGATAAGTGATATTGCTACATAAGTAAGGGAAGTTGACGATTGAAAAGTTGAAGTCATCACGTATATCATGAGGAATTTCCACACTCCTATGATGTCATAGGTTTTTGCAAAATCTGTTATTAATTTAAATTTATACCCAATAGAAATATATCTTTTTGGAAGAATGCAGAAAGAATTCAAAGTACCCGGTACAATGCACGCTTTGTAGAATGTGATTATACTTTACAAAATTTTTGACTCAAATTTGAAATCTTACTCCTAGAGTGAATTTTTTAAGCATTATCTTTCATTAGATTACAGTGTGAAGATTCACATGTACTTGCATTACCATGGACTTTATAGTGTTTATGTACGGGCTCGTGGTGGTTAGCATTGCTCGTTCCAGAGACTTGTTGACTTTTGATGTGTTGCCACACATATGCTTCATGCAGGTTGGGGAGAATAACATTCTGTTGAAAAGTGACGAAGTGATTGTGCGTGATATTTTATCATTAGCGTCTTATCTGCATTCTGGTATGGGCATACGGACAGTCATTGTGGGCCAGCTTCTACGCCGCAAACCTTGGACTTCGTCTTCGGACTTCAACGATCGCATCGTCGCCATCAACGTGATGCTTAAAGAACAGTGTGCAGCTATGAATGGTATACATTTCTGGCCTCATAGAGGCTTCTGGAAAGATTTGACATTCATGTGCCATGACTGGGTACATCTCCGATGCCCTACCCCATCGCCTCATGTTGTGACCGCCTCTCCTATGCATCGATTTGGCGAAGTGTTCGTTCAGCTATCTTATATCATAGACACATTTAAGGCCAGTATCATTCTGCTTAAGTCTACTTGTCTGACTTTGGTTTTCAATTGCTTTACATATATATAACTATATTCTGTCACTAATTATAATCAGTGATGCATTTCAATATAAATGTTCTATTTAAATAATGCATCTCCATATTCTGAGACCATACCTATAGTTTATTAAAGTCATTGAGTGCATGCATTGCATTCTCTTACTGTCATAGGCTTTAATGTCAATTGCTTTATGTGTTTCATCAAACTGATACCTGATGATTATTAGACAGTCAGTTTGCTTTTTGTGGTCAATGAACAACATAAATACAGCTTACATAAACTTACTGGAGTATGCATTTATTAACTCCTATATGTTTGACTGGTATATACATGTATACTTTGTAAGCAATTTCTCTTTGCATTGTGGGACCAACACATTACAAAATGCTTACGGTTGATGTTGCGGGACCATACGCTTCATCTTGTATGAGTATATAATTGTATGTGCATTTTCTTTTGGTGCGGGACCATACCACCAAAGACATGCTCAT